AATAATGACGTTTTCAATTTGTTCCCTCTACCTGCCTTCGGATTTAAATCCCCTAAAGAACAAATAAATAAAAAATTACGACCACAGAGAAAATAGCATCTGAGAGAGTACCAGAAGGTATAGACGACTCTTCCTCAACATACCGTCATACTTTTGCTGATATCCTTCAACGCTTCGTCGGCGGCGGCCTGTTTTTCGGCCAACAGTTTGCTTTTCTTAGCCGCTTTCTTCTGCATTACCGCCACTTGTTCACGAGCCTCTGTCAGTTTGTGTACTCCGGCCTTGAAATTTGAACGGTTGTTCTACAGATCAAATAAAATTGTGAAAAATGTGTGCTTCAAACGCATTCAGGTGTCACTTCAAATGTGAATGAAATTCAGCGGGATAACAGAGTGCGTGGGGCATATCAATAAAAGGATCAATTTTCGATTCTTTTACTAGAAGTTATACTTACTTTTAGTCTTTCCAGGCGGCCTGCCACCACGTCTTTCTTCTTCTCGAAGATCGCAGCGTAATTCTCGATGCAACGCTGGAATTTGTACGGCGAGAGTACAGTACTTGGAAGAACCGTCTCCAGGTGACTATAAATCGATAATCGATTCAATTATAATGATCAACTTATAAATGAACAAAGGAGGGGTGTAAGCAAGAACGGGGTGAAAATTGATCACTTTTCTTTGCAAAGATCTAAGAATAGAGGTGAAAGCCAATAACAGCGAAATAAAAATGAACACCTGAATGACTGGCAAGTGTCCTCCTTCACTTCCATTCCTTTCTTTTGAAGGATCAATTGTGGCATCTGAAACACATCGTTGTTCATTTTGAAAGAAACCACATTCATCAGGTTGAGCAAGGGTTGGCCTATCGAATTCATAGAAGTGCCACTGCCGCTTTGTGTTCATCCGGAACCGTTGCGCCATTCGAATGCGGTACTGCGCATACGATGACTCACGAGAACCAGTCAATTATGGGTCGGTGTTTGTAGCATAACAGGCAAGTCTGGCAAACGCTGAGCAAGCCGGAGGTATGGGAGGTATGGTTCTGAGCTGAATCATGGGATCTGGGCCGTGGACCGTGTTGGAAGTGAGCTGACCCCACTCGCCACTTCATTAGTTCCTTTCAATCAATGTTCAGTGTTATGATATAATCACTACTGCCTCAATTTGCAGACCTTCTTCAAATGTGTACAGCAATTTTTGCAAGTTTCAAGGAATTTTTGAAAATTCTAGAATAGCTCTCCTTTGGGAAAGATTAATGCCAAAATATAGTCCAAGAAAGGTCGTTATAGGAACGCACTGTTCTAACCGCTCACCACTAATGAAATTGGGTCATTACTCAAATCACCTCGCGTTGAATGGATGGTGAAGACGTTCGACGGGGTAACTAGGGGGTGTGATAAAGGTTTGCTTTTTGCTGAGGCGCTTCAGTGAATTCAGCCTCCGTCAAACAAAATTAAATCCTCCAGTCCACTGTGGCGTTCCGGTAACGCAGTATATTGAGCACATCAAGTCGACGCGAAGCGCTATAGCTGAGACCAGTGGCGTCGGCAGACGCAGGTATACCGAGCACATCAAGTCGACGCCGCAGCGCGACAGCTGAGGAACTGTGAGTACCTGCACTTTAGTGGTTCCACTCCAGCGTTCCTGCCAGATTACGTTGGACTGCTTGAAAATCGCCGGATTTGCAGTGATTCTCAATTCGAAGTCAGCACCATCAATGTCCAACACCAGACCAACGTGAAGTAATGTTCGAACTCCTGAAAAGTTAATGAAGAAACAATGAAAAATAGAAAGTAAACCGAAGCGAGGCGAAATTTCTCATACCACAAAGAACAAAAAATCGGCAAATACTGAATACGACCGTAAAGATTAATACCGCAGGGTTCTTTTGGTGCTCTTCTTGCAATTATGGTTGAAATTGTGCAGTGCAAACGGCGAAATCTACCAGTAGAAGGGTCCTGAGATCAAATACCAGCTTCAATGTCGTTCTGGTTAGCCAAGCTCTACCATCTCCCAAGTCTTTTCGCTAAATTTGTCCGAGAGAATGACAACACCAATCTCTACATCGCCATTCATTGCGAAGGTAAACTGCGCCCAAGGCGCCATCACGGCTCTTACGATTCCGACACGATTTTTAGTGAAAGGAGAGTGTGTGGCTCATCTCAAAAAGGAATGGTAACGATGATCGCTCTATGCTTCTTATTAGTTCCTAGTTCTACTGATCCCATGATATGAGAATCTCGCAACTCAATCCCATTGGCCTAGGAGTATTAAAAGTATAATAAAGGAAAAGTTCAAAAGTCAACGAACTATGAGAAAAGTACTGCTGCATATGTCCCTGAAATCCGTCCTGGCTGGCCTGGTCTCGAAGAGCCGTCGAAAGTGAGTCGAGCTCCTGTTGAAAAGAATTTATCAGGATTTTTATTACCTAGAAATTCTCATACAGTCCATATTAATGGCACGAAAATCCTCCCATAGCATGTATGCTGGAGCAGGTTCTAGCCTCAATTCGAAGGTACGGCACAGGCTTCCAGGGTCATTACCACGCACGAACTGCGAAACTGGCAAAAATTCTACACTTTCACACCGATCCATTTAACTCACGATACGGCTCATGTTTTCTGATCCTTCCATACCATGATTTTCCGTAAATTGTATTTTGTGAGACGTGTAATGTAAAAAAATCCCAACCTGAGGAGTGAAGAGACCAGGGACTTCGCCGCTGGAGATCAGGCAATTAATCGATTCGAGAAAGCTCTGTTTCAGGATTTTGTAGTCCTCGAGGAGAAACAACTACGTGTTCACTGTTGGAAATCGGACTGAAGGCGGAGGTAAATTTGGAGGTATCAATGGTGGACAGGCGTTGAGGCGGTTCGACCACACACAAGACTTATAATGTTCCTTTAGGGCGCTCACCGGTCAGTACAAGCCCTACCCCGCGCAAAATTAGCCGTCATGTTGAATGCATTTGGTGCGCAACACGCACGTCGGCCAGGACACACCTAGCTGCACGCGCAAATTGGCCGTGTTTGATCAAATTGCATTTACAGTTCCCGTTCGAGAATGAATGGCGCATTGTGCTTGGGGGGGCAGGGGGCAGTCGGCCGCGCGCGCGCGGTCGTGCGCGACACAACGAGGAAATTCGTTGAGTTGGGCCGCGGGGGGTGACTGCCAATTCCCCCCCCCCGAGGCACATAGCGCATATCATGATCGTTACGAATGGATACCGACTATGCAAGCACCCGGTATTGTCTCTTGAAGTATCAACTTATTTTGTATTCAGGATTGGATTCCCTTTGCGGAAAAGCACGGTGGCGTCGTATAAAAGGAGCGAGAAAAAAGTCCGGGAACAACTGCTCAAAAGGAGGGTGAGTTCCAACAGATAGCAAGTAAATCGTTTGGTTGATTCCTGTGATTGTAGAGTGTCGCTTCACATTTGGATCCATTTCTATGCTTATTTCTTATGTACATTGCTAATATTATACTGGTATTCTTTGGTAGGTATGGTGTCTATTAGACGTCAGATGCGATCGCTGTTAAAATCACATCGGAAAGGAGGGAGACTTTGTAGACGAGGGTTTGGCGGCGCCTGTTCAAGGCAGACGCCATTCAATTCGCTTGGGATCAAGGGTCACTTCAGCGCTATATGTTCAACGGGCTTGATCACACGCGCAAATTTGGCTCTCGTGCTCCGAAATGCATTGACAATGTTTAACCAAGGAATCATTGCTCTGTCACCATTGTTTTTTTTCAGTGATTCGCGATGAAGATTCGATAGAGGCTAGGCGGAAAAAAGCATTCGAAAAAGGATCGAGAAATTATTACTTCATACTTTGGCTTCGGTAGCTGCTCCACAAACCAGTTACCCTTCGATTTCAAGCTTAGTTTTCTTCAGTGAGTTTGTGCCTACTTACGATCGTTGCAGCAGCATTTCGTGAGTGAATCCATTTATCTGAACCAATGCCTTTCAATGAATTGCGAACCTTTTTCAGGCGGAGGACATGCTCTGTGGACCATGTTTCTACTATAGCATCACCCGTCAGGAATTCACTCGTTCACCATGATCGCAGAGATTTTATTCATACTGGGTTGGTTGATGTTCATGTTTTGATTTGAACCACCTCATAGATTGAAGTGCAGATTTTTCTTCTACTTTACTCTCAAAACCCAAGTTATGAGATCTTCGCCTTTTGCTCACATTCTCAAAATCAAAGTGTAACATTCTTTTGTAGGTTCCCGAAGGAATGCTCCAGTTCTCGACCTGGACCAATCGCATTTTGGTACACGTGGCGATGGCCAAAGCGACGTCGGAACACCTAATTATATGAGTTTCAATCACTAGCACAGTGCTATTCTCCAACGATTCCTCGCACTATAAAGCTAGTTTTGTAGTACAGTTTGCTACATTGTCATAAATTGTTTAATAAACTTTGAAATATGAAATCTGATTTATTATTCTAGACCAGATCCAGACTCATTTCCGCAATTTTCATTCCTTGCGCCTCTCCTCATTGCTTGGTCAAGCATGCCAGCG